TGCTGCTTGGCCTGCTGTGTTCATCCAGCCCTGCACCTTGTTGTCTCGGATTCTCCAGCATCTGCAGTTCCTACTATCTCTTAGAATCTTAGGGCAAGTTTACAAGGCTACTGAAAGAGAATGTAGAATTCTTGTCTTTAATGATAGAGGTAATGAATACAAAAACAACATAGTCTGCCAAACCTTTATTAAACACTTGTAGGCCTCAGCTAAAGTACTGTGTTCAATTCTGGACACCGTCTTCTAGGAAGGGCTTAGATCACAGCAGAAAAGGTCAGCTAGCATCTTGCTAGTGAATACTAGGCAAATGGAAGGACTGAAGAAACTGGTGTGGTTCTCAAGCAAAGAAGGTTGAAAGTTGGTTTGTATTTGTTCAAAGTCGTAAAGGCTTTTGAAAGGGTAATAATGAAAATCTGTTGTCAGTGGCAGAAGGGTTGGTAATCAGATTTAAGGTGATAGTCAAAAGAACCAAAGGTGACTTTCAGAATTTTCCTTTTCTAGAAAAGTGAGTTGTTGTGATTTGGAATGAACTGTCTGAAGAGCAGGTAGGAGCAAAAACGCCTTAAACGTTCAAAAGAGATTCATAATTAAAGAAGCAAATCTACTGTAGGTTATAGAGAAAGAGCAGTGAGTGAGACTAATTGGGTAGGTCTAGCAAAGAGTTGAAACATGTACAGCGGTCCAAGTGAGTGCCTCTGTGCTGCGTACAGTAATGTTACATTTGGAATTTCCTCCACTATCGGTGAGCATTATCATCTGCTGGCTGAGACAGCAGCTTGTAATTTGTCTGAATGATGATGATAGCTGGAATTCCAATATTGTGTCCTATCTTGATCTGGAAATATAGCATTCTACTGCTAAAGGCACCAAGCCGAATCATAATGTATATCTTCTATTTTTAAAAAAGTAATAATGTGAAAGAATTGATGCAAGTGACATTTTGTTTGTTTATAGCTCAAACTGGCTGATATGGGCCTGGCACTCGAGAGTGCTCGCTTGTTAACCTGGAGAGCAGCCATGCTGAAGGATAATGGAAAACCATTCATAAAGGTAACCAAAGTTTAGAGTCTTTCATATATATCAAAATAAGGCTTTGATGTTTGAAATCACTCTCTCTTTAATCGCACCCTGTCTGTTCTCGCTGCTGTCTGCTTGTAATTGGGACAGCAAGATTGTTAAATATCTTTTGAAAGATAAATTCCTTAGATCTGCTGCTGCAGGCTGATAACCAGGTCAGTTGTCTGCTTTGAAACTTCTTTAAACATGAAGTCAGTCTTAGTTGGAGAGTTGGTGGTGGGGGGAGATGGTATTTCATCCAGATAATCGTGTATCAAAAGTCTTAGGAGCAGGAATTTGACCTTTCAAGCCTGCTGTACTTTTCAAAAAGACCACAGTTGGTCTGGTTGTGGTCTCAGTTCCACTTCTCTGTCTGCATCCATAACCCATGACTCCCTTTGTCTATCAAAGAGCTATTTAACATAACCTTGAATACATTTAAAGACCCATCTTCCTATCTTATGGGAAGGGAATTCTGAACTCTTAATGACTCCCTGTCCTCCATTAAGTAATAGGTTGCAACAAAGGAATGTACCACGATGAGCAGAATATAAATGCATGTGATTAATTCACTTAATATATCGTTTGTTAATATTAAAATTGAAAATTAGATCATCAAAGCTGTTGGGTGAGGTTCATTTCTTTGGCTCTGGTAAATTGTGTTATATTAACATAGCAATTATTAGACACAGGGAGGGAGAGAGACACACACACACACAAAGTCAAAGCTTTTTGTCTTGCAATCATCAGACCTGGTTGCAAGTCAAAGTTTGGTAGGGAACATCACTTTATCTAGCTGGAGAAGGGTTGCTGATTAGTTGTTGGACATGCTGATGAAACAGCGTAAATAATACAATTCGAAGGAGGTGTCAAAAAAAGAGGGGGCTAAAGGTGCATATTTATAAGCCCTTGAAGGTGACTGGGTAACTTGATGAAACAGTTAAGAAATCACATAGAATAAAAACAAAGTACTGCAGATCCTGGAAATTTGAAATAAAACAAGAGAATTCTGGAGAAACTCAGCAGGTCTGGCAGCATCTGTGGAGACAGAAACAGAGTGAATGTTTCAAGTCCAATACAACTCTTCTTCAGTACTTCTCCAATTTCTCCAGCACTTCCTCTTTTTATTACATGGAATACTTTGTAAACAGGAGATTTGAATGTGGAAACAAAGAAGTCATGCAAATCTTTACAAAACAGCTGGATGTTGTGTACGATTATATCCAGGATGTGAGGGTCATCATTTGTGTGGCGACACTGGTGCATCTGAGATTATCTCCTTAGAGAAGCAAAGGATAAGGCCAAATGTGATAGAGATGTTCAAAATCATGAGATGTTGAATAGAGCAAGGAGGGAGAGGCTGTTTCCTTGGCAATGGGTCAGTAACCAGTGATCAGAGATTTCCAAACAATTACATAGGTTTATGCAGCACTGAAACAAGCCATTTCGTCCAGTCAGTTCATATCAGTACAATGCTTCATTCAATCCACTGCCCGTCATTCCTAAGGTAAAATCCATCATTGTGACCTTGTATTGCCTCTCTTTCATATGCTTGGCCAATTTCCCCTTCTCTGTTATTCACTTCAACCACTTCCTGGTGTACTAAGTTCCTTGAACACACCACTGACTAATATTGATGGCCTCTAGTAATGCACTTACTATTCTATCAAAAACCTTTCATAATCTTAAAGAACTCTATTAGGTGACCCATCACTTCTTTCAATAGAAAAGATACCCAGCCTGCCAATCCATTTCTAACATGGAAAGTCTTGCATTTCATGATATCACTTTTTTAAAGTCTTTGGATCACCCTCTCTAGTCTTTTTATCTTTATCTATAATATAGCAACTGCATGCTGTGATCTTTGGCTCAGTCTAACGAAGCATTGAAACAAGTTTAACATAACACGGGTATTTTTCAATTTTATTCCCTTAGAAATGGACTTTTGTGCTTGGTTTGCTTTTGTGGATGGCCTTGCCAGTAATTGATGTATTTGTACTGCAAGATCTGTTTGTTCTTCTAACTCATATAAACCGGTACTTTGCAAATAATTTCAAGTAAATCTCATTCCTGTGTTGAACTTCATTAGCCAATTATGTACCCATTCTGCAAACTTATTTTTTTTCCTCTATTTGTCCTGTTCAGAGATGTTACTACACACCTCTGGAGCAAGCGGGACTTGAACCTGGGCCTCCCAATCCAGGTGTAGGGACACTACTACTGTGCCACAAGAGGGCCCCCACATGTCTGCTTTAACCTATTTTCCTAATCAACCAGTTCAGCGATGTTATCACACACTTTTGGAGCAGGTGGGACTTAAACCCAGGCCTCCTGGTCCAGGGGTGGGGCGCTACCACTCCGCCACAAGAGGACAACGAGTCTGCTTTAATTTTTTTCACTAAACCTATTTTTCTATTCAACCTGTTCAGAGATGTTCAATGAGCTTATTACCATCCTCCTGTAATTTGTTGTCTTTCTACATTATTATTGACCTTTCCAACCCCCCAGTCCCCATCACTCACCAATTTGATGACATCAGCAAATTCATAAATTATGTTTTTGATTCCAGGGTCCAATTCATTAACATAAATTGTGATTTGCTTTAGTCCCAGCACTGATCCTTATGGAACATCACTCCCCATTTTCAGCCTCTCTCAAGAGCTAACCTTGACTTCCACACTCTGCTTTCTTTCTTGAAGACAGCTCACCATCCATTCTGCCGCTTGTCCCCAAATTCTACAGGTTTAACATGATTGGTAAAATAACTAGAGGAGAAATAGATTTTTTGTCACATTGTCACCTTGTTCTGGTGTGCACTACCTGAAAGAATGGTGGAATCAGATTCCACAGAAACCCTCAAAAAACAATTGAACTGTATTTGGAGAGATTTAATTTGCAGGGTTTTGGAAACCAGCAGAAATGTAGGGTGGAATTAGTCAACTCTTTAAAAGAACAACCTGACAAATACTGTTGGCTGAATGTCTTCATTTGCTATAAATTTGATGATTCAGCATTCAGCCCTGATGTGGTATTGTTGCACAGTGCATGCAGGTTCAAGTTTTATCACTGGTCAAGTCTGTGCTGAATTAATAGATCTCATTTGGCACATAATCCACACTAATGTGGTATTGAGGGAATGCAGTACTGTAGGAGATGCTGTCTTTTAAATGAGGTGTTAAATAAGCTCCTGTTACCCTCTTGGGTAGATATAAAAAGATCCCTTGCCACTATTTGAAGAGAAGTGGTGGAATCCTCCTGGTGTCCTGGCCATTTGTATCTGTCAGTTAACACCTAAAAGAGAATATCTGGTCATTTTTTCATTGCTGGTTGTATGCAAATTACTTGCTGCATTTGTTACACTGTGACTGCAATTCAGAAATATCACTTATAAATGGCTTTGAGAAATCCTGAAGTTGTGAGAAGTTTTATACAAAATACAAGACTTTCTTTCACTCTTCTAAAGTGGAAAAGAGGGGGGCAGCACGGTGGCTCGGGGGTTGGTGCTGCTGCCTCACAGCGCCAGGGACTCGGGCTCAATTTGAGCCTAGGGCAGCTGTCCATGTGGAGTTTGCACATTCTCCCCGTGTCTGTGTGGGTTTTCTCCGGGTGCTCCGGTTTCCTCCCACAGTCCAAAGATGTGCAGGTTAGGTGGATTGTTCATGCCAAATTGCCTATAGACCTAGGGTGGGAAATGCTGAGACAGGGTAAGGGGGTGGGTCTGGGTGGAATGCTGTTTGGAGGGTCGGTGTGGACTCAATGGGCTGAATGGCCTGCTTCCACACTGTTGGGATTCTATGATCCTATAAATACAAACGTCATCCAGTGTTGTTGCTCCAGTCACTAAGTAGGGTAAATCTTTGCATGGCAGGTGAGCACAGAATAGAGGTTTTCCCTGATACTCCTGACCTGGTTTCCAGTGCTTTGGCTTGGATTTTCACTAATGGTGGACAATAGGAGATTTGGCAAAGTAGGCGTAAGGACAAAAGGTGATGGCAGGAGACATTGGTTGACATTAATTGGCACTAAGTGGGAACAGATCTAAAGTGCAAGGTGAATGGGCGGAGGGGTATAGTTTGGCACGAATGGTACAAGTAGCCATGAGTATTGGTGAAAGAACATTCAGAATATGAAGGACCATGAGAAGTGAGTGTGGAGGTGTAGCCATAGCTTAGGAGAGAAATCTTAGGCTTTTGCTACTTCTGTTTCTGGGACCTTTATGCCTTATTCTAGAAATGCTTGACATTAGTGCTGTCTTTGTGGAAGTCTCTAAGATTTGCTTGTGTTCTTAGGTGTGTAATGGTAAACATTGGTGCAATAAATCCTGAAATAGCAGTTAAAGTGAGGTGAAGTAATTTCCCCAACAGCACTAATGAGCTTGTCTAAATCCTGATTTTGCATGTGGAATTTTAGCACAGATTAATGACTAAATGCATACGTTAATGATCCACTTTGTTAAATGTGACGTTTATACTTTTTAAGCTCTAATAATAGATCAGCCATGATGGTATTGTGTGCCAGAGCAGACCTGAGAGGCTACTTCTGCTCCTATTTTGTACGTTTTTATCCTTTCTTGCAACACAAAATAAATAAGGCATAGTTCGTGATATAGTCGAGTAAACCTTATCTTTGTAAAATTACTGGAGACTGTAAGTCTTGTTACCCTCCTACCCAAAATACAAGTGCCCAATGACTAACTTTTAGTTATGTTGAGATTGTGTGTGACTGTATACATAAGTGTTGTTTGTCAATTGACGTTATTCTCATCTTGACATCAACCTTAGTGAAATGTATTCCCAGGATCCCTGGAGCCCATATACCAAATCATGTGAACTGGGAGCTGGAGAGGGACATTGATGTTTGTGAGGACAGCATGAAACAGGCTGATATGCTCGAACAAGTTGATGTTAGGAGTGAGAATGTGCTAGAAATTTTGAAAAACATGAGGATAGATAAGTCCCCTGGGCCAGACGGGATATACCCAAGGTTCCTACAGG